TACCCGGGGACCTGACACCCATGTCAAAACACCAATGTGCATAAAATGAAATAAATTTAGAAACACACACACACACACACTTGTGAGATGAAGCCTTTATTTTCCTGTAAAATGTTTGATATACTTGATTTCTGTAAAAGATGTCTTATTGCAAAAACCACTGTGTGCAAACAAATGAAATTTGGGAGACTCATAGCAATAAAATCATCACTTACAAGCACTTCTAGTTCAAGGTCTACATTCTATAAGTAAATTTCCACTGGTACCACTTCCTAGGTACTCCTTCTGGGCCATACATGTTCTGTGCATTACCATGTTCCCACGTTTAATGTCATGAGATAGGAGATGGTACTGAGGTCATTTTGGAGATAGGAATCTATGACTCAGAGGTGTTAAATTGCTGGCAGGTGGCCTCGTGACTTGTAATTGATAGAGACATAACTTCTACATAGCTCACCCCAGCTTCTAAGCCCTAATACCACAGAGCAGAAGAGAAGAGAAAAATTTAGATAGCTAAAGAAAGCAGTGATGCCACAAGCAAGGAGAGCTTGGGTGGGACCTAAGTGAGAACACGGTAGACACTACTAAAAGGATACTACACAATCACACTAAAGGAATACAGCAGCATAATATACAGTCGTTGTTATTCCAGAGCAAGAAAGATAATGATATTGTAGGAGAACGATCAGCAGAAGCAGACCTTTAGCAAAATAAAGTCAATAACTAATTGCTTATGTTCTTACAGTAAACCATGTTATGCCCATGCCATGAGTCCCCCAAAGACCATCAGGAGTCCAAGTTTGTATGCAAAAAAAAGCAAATGGCCTTTATTGCAAGACCAAGCTGGGATCTCCGTCCGCTCCAACACAGTGGCTGAATCAGGGAGAGCACTGAGCTCAGCTGTGGTAGGGGTTTTAAGGAGCAATGGATGGGGGTGGGTAGGAGAATCTGGAGTCAGATGGGAATTGAACTCTTGATTGGGCAGGAGTGAGGCATCAGAAGTCTTTTCAAACAGGGATTGGTACTGGTCTTGCTGCAACCTATTCACAAATTAATCAAGCTATTCTTAATGTTCTGGGGCACCTAGTACTTTTGTTTGTCTCAATGCTGATTGGCCCCTCACAGGGTATAGTCTGTGGCTTTTCCTGGTTATTGTAATGGTGAGGCCGAGCCTCAGTGTTGTTAGTTTTCAGCCTCTCATGGCTGCACGGATTTTAAATTGGGCCTCTTCAGCCCCTGTTTATCTTTACCCATATAGTGATCAACTGTTTTCAGATACATCTCTTTGCTCTTCTCAAATTCAATTAGAGAACGCCATCCAACACAGGTATCTGTATACCCCCACTTCTGCTGTCCTTTTCCTGGACTAGGCCTCCCTTCTTCCTAGCCCTGCCATACTGTATTGTTTGACTTATTGCTACCACCAGGATTTATAATGATATGAAATGCCTATCTTTCCAGCTACTTAGATGTTGTCCCTCTCTTACCCAGTGCATGTGGAGAGAGCACTTCTCACAGTAGAAGGTTACAATTAAAAAATAAATAAAAAGGAGAAATTGCCTGTCTGGATTAAATGAGTGTTCAGTAAAGCATTCTGTGCCCTTGTTGACTAGATGTTACTAATTTATTGGAAAGACAAGTGCTTTGTCTATCACCGTTACTGCAAATGTTCGTGGTATTTCACGTCCCTTCACTTGTTGTTTTAATAGATTATTTAATGCCCAAAATAATAGATTATAGTATTCAGTTTAATGAATCCTGAATTCTCACATATTCACATAATTGGTCTATTTTTAATAATTTGATATTATTTTTATGCTATTAGTAGATAGAAATTTATTTGTTTGCTCGCTTGTTTGTTTGTTTGTTTGTTTGTTTGTTTGTTTGAGACAGGGTTTCTTTGTGTAATTTTGGCCATCCTGGAACTCACTCTATAGACCAGACTGGCCTCAAATTTAGAGATTCACCTGCCTCTGCCTTCTGAGTGCTGGGATTAAAGAATGTGTGCCACCACTGCCCAGCAAGAATTTATTTTTATATAGCAAAATTAGGAAATTAAGTTATACCATTTTCTAAATGTTCTGTTTTTCTCAACTCTTAATCTTGTATTTCTTTCCATTTTGTTTTATATTTAATGTATAATTTATTAACTTAATATATTTAATTGCTGTTCTTTGTGTATGTTAACTTTTGTTCTGTTTACTTCTTAACCCTTTTTAGAATATCTGTTTTCAAACTATTCTTGCCTTACAAAAATTGCATTTCCAATATTTTAATATAGACTAAGGCAAGATCCTTCTACTGTTTTCTTTTTAAATTTTTCTTAATTTGGATTCTATATGCATTTTTAACGTTTTGCTAATGATTGTAACAAAATTTGTGAGACTCGAAGTTGTTAATAACTTGAATCTGTGGGGGCGGTGTTGTGTGTATACACGTGCACAGGGTGCATGTGTGCTCGTGCACATACAAATGCATGATGGGGAAAGGATAGCATCACTTTGGCATCACAAGAAAGACTGAGATGCTACATGTGAAGCTACTAGATAAGTGTCATTAGATGCTTCTAAACTATCACTTAACAAATATTTATTTGAAGAATTACATCCTTTAAGACTGTGAAAGAATTAACTTCAACATCTGGAGTTCCTCAGTAGAATTGATTATAGGGATAAACCTGATTAAATGGATTAATTATTATCTGGTGGTGAAAAAAGGGCCTCTTTAGTTAAAACCCATGTTGCTTCTTCTTGCCAAATTCTTTATGTCTCCATCTAGTGCTGAATAATAAATATGATCAGCTTATTTTATGCTCATTCTTGCTTTCATACAAACCTGTTCCTCAACGCTCCTCCAGTGAATTCCTCTGTGGGAAGTATTTGAACAAACCTTGGTTACAATTCAGGCAAAATGGTGGGTCTTGAAAGAGTGGTGGGCATGGTTTCCTCCCCAGTCTTTTGATTCTTAGTCCCTCAGAACATGATCAAAGTCCAGGAATCGGAGTGAGTGAAAGAATTATTCAGGTTGACATACACCATCTTTGACTCAGTCTGCCAAAAGAGAGGTCAATGAGACAATTTCAGTCTTGTGTCTGATATAAGCACTATGGTGCATGCAAGGCAATCTGTAGTGGGGAGATGAACAACCTAAGATATGCATTATTTTATAGCTATGAGAAATAATAAAATAAAAATGCATGTCACCACACCAAGAAATCAATAAGACAAATACATTGCAAATGCACATACTTATAAACAAATGAACAAAAACAACTCTAAAAAGTAAAAACAAAAGAAAAAAAAACCACTTCTACAGCCAAAGAAATAGTTTATTCTGAGCCAAATATGGTTGATCATAAGCAGAGAAAACAACAGCTAGTAATTCTAAATGATGTGGGCCTGCCCCTTTCTGAGGAGTGGGGAGGAGGGTAGAAGGGACGTGGAGGAGGAAATGAGGGAGAGGAGGGAAGGGAAATTGTGGTTAATATGCAAAATAATGAAAATTTTAATTTAAAAAAATTATACAAAAAATCTAATTTATACAGCAATAAATACATTCAACAAATACTTTCTCTGGGACAATAGATGGACAGGCTCTAGCAAAGCAAGGCAATCATTTCTACAAATTTCAGATGTTATCACATTTTATGTTTTAGGACTGATTCAGCCTAGAGGCCTGCTAAGGCTTAGAAGTTAACCTAATACTCATGAAACTGTCAGGTCAAACACAGAAGTTAAGGTAAATGATGTTTTTTTTTTTAATTTTAGATAGCCTGATAATTATAGTTTTTAACCTACAAACTATTTTCTCTATAATCATATTGTTCTAGCCAGCCAAAGTCAGTCTACAGAATCTTTAACATAGATTCATCTTCAGCAAATTTTGGTTAACAACAATCTAAAAGACCTTTTACAAATATGGATGAAGCACTTAGTTTGGGGAAATGAGTGTAAATGAAAGTAATCCTATTTATAGGTGAAAAGAAAGTTTGCATAAAAATGCTTGCCCTGGTTCAGGAAAAAACTAATTATCCAGTGTGGCTTGCTGTGTGTTGCAGAAAAAGAAAACTATCACAGACTAGGATTTTGGCAAATTCTCAGAGACAGTCCTATAGTTCCCAATTGGAAGATAGTTAATTCAATTTGATCGATATTTGTTTTGCAGCCAGCGTTTATAAAGCTTTGTTCTAAACTCAGGAAAGCATTGTTAAAGGGCAAATGTGTCAAGTGTCTGCTGTTGGGAAGAACAAATGATAAATGTATTGACGTTGCAAGGCTACCCTTCAACTATGTAATTTATAATTTGTGACTGCTAAATTAATAAACTCTTCCTTAATTGCACTGACAAATTCCATGAGTAGATGAAATAATCATTTAAGTTTCACAAATACATTCAGTGGCACATTTTTGTTAGCAAGAGTTCAAGATCAAAGCATATGGAAATGTAATCAGGTCTTAATATTGGACCCATACACTTAACCATGATGTATATACCCTAAAATACTTTGTGTGTTTTAGAAGAGCCTTGTCCAAGGACCCAGAGACCTATTCATCTTCTCTTTTTTTCTCATACAAGAATTGCACTGTGCTAAGATGTCTCTGATAGTGGTTTCACAGAAAGCAAGGCAATTTCTTTCAATGATATTTTATGAATGGACAATCAAACAAATGAGTCATTAAACACAGTATAAGAAATATGATGCATTAGGGGGACTAACAGTAAGGAAGAAACCCCCATAAGAATCTATAACCGAATATATGATTATATCACTTCTCAGATTTGCACCAAGAGCTATCTGCTCTCTGGTAATCTTGACAAAAATCATCAGGAAATTGGGATAAAGAGTTGATTTTCATTAGACAAAAAACAATGTTTTTTTCTAATAGAATTTTATCCCAGGGGAAAATAATGACTTTAGGCTTGCTGAAAAGCAAAAGTACCCTGTTATGGTCTTTGGGCAATACTTTCTAATTCTTCTTTTTCATTATCTTTAAATACAGAATCCCCTGCACCTACAACTGAGTTTAGAAAATTCATTAAGTTCTGACGCTGATGTCACTGTCTCAATCCTGGCCATGAACAACTGGTACAATTTTAGCTTGTTGCTATGCCAGGAAGACTGGAATATCACCGAGTTCCTCCTCCTTACCGAGAAGAACTCCAAGTTCCACCTCGGATCCATCATCAACATCACTGCTAACCTGTCCTCCACCAAGGACCTCCTAAGTTTCCTGCAGGTCCAACTGGAGAGCATTAAAAACAGCAAACCCACGATGGTAATGTTTGGCTGCGACATGGAGAGTGTCCGGCAGATTTTTGAACTTTCCAACCAGTTTGGTCTATCACCTCCTGAGCTCCACTGGGTTCTAGGAGACTCCCAGAATGTGGAAGAACTAAGGACAGAAGGCCTACCTTTAGGGCTCATTGCTCATGGAAAAACAACACAGTCCATCTTTGAGTACTACGTTCAGGATGCCATGGAGTTGGTTGCAAGAGCTGTAGCCACAGCCACCATGATCCAGCCAGAACTTGCTCTCCTTCCCAGCACGATGAACTGCATGGATGTGAAAACCACAAATCTGACTTCTGGACAATATTTATCAAGGTAGGATGCAAAAACTGGATTACATTCTCACCCAAGGAACTGGGATAGCAAGTAAAACTTTCCTCTCTTTCCACCGTATAGAAATCTTGATTCTATGTAGCTTTACAGGCCAATAGTTCTGAGATGGTCAATAGAGGAAGAATGGTATCTCATGGTCTGTTATCTGTAATTTGATTCACAGTCTTTGCCCTATATTGTAGAGACAGCACTCAGCTCTGGCTATCTCTTCTTTCACTGTTGAGTTCTTGACAGATTATTTAAAAACTTTGAGCCTCAATGTTCTAACTAGTAAATTGGGATAACATGGGACAGCTTAATATAGTATACTAAATAGGCCATGAACTTGTATGAAGATAATTAACCCGTGCTTCACTCATAGTAGATAAAAGCAAGGAATATTTCTTTCTTAGTTTATTCTTTCCCACATCCATAGACTTGAAAAAATTTCTCTAAATATATACAAAGAAAAAATTAGTTACATGAAACTAGACTTTTCTCTCCTAAAATTGTTTAAGGCAGTTTAGACTCTGATTAAAAGCAGAGACGTCAGAACCAGACTCTTTGCTCTTCCTCTTGATTCCTGTATCACCTGATCTCTTTTCCTAGTCACTTCGTTTTTATGTATGATTATAGAAAATGAATAGAAAAATCTAAATATATAAGCATAGGATCTGGTTACTTCTGGAATGTTTGTGATAGATGACAGATAGAAAATAGAAGATACAAGATGTGTGGATGATAGGTAAATAGGTGATACGCAGAGAACAGATAGAAGATAAATAGATAGATAGATAGATAGATAGATAGATAGATAGATAGGATATATAAAAGTAAGAATTCCATAAGGATGTTTATTATTTTACACATAATTGCATATTATAATTATATTATAATTTGTATGTATATTATAATTTGGTACCTTTATTGTTTAGTAGCTCACTTGATTCAGAAGATGGAATGGAAAACTCCATCTAAAATAAAAGATGATCTCTCATAGAGAAATAGCCTTATAATTACTGAAGAAAGGAGAATGAATGTCCTTAATGATAATTTCAGGCTACTTTATTTTTATCTGGAAAAAAATGATCTATGGTCAGAGAGACTAGGTCAGAGAATGATGCTGTTTCAGAGGTGAATCGTCCCAGTAGACTGAGATACAGTTTAAGGCAATACTCTTAAAGAAGTGGCATTTGAATATACAAAATATAAGGACATTTTATAGAAAACACTAACATTTAATAAAAGACCAGAATGCCATAATTTCACACATGATTGCACTAAGCTCTTATGATACACAAGCAATCTGCTAACAGCCAAGTGTGACAGAAGCGAAGATAAAGCAGCGCCTAGTGTTGTTGACAAAGATGAAAAGTGGGTATACAGCACACACCTATAATTGCAGCATTTGGGAGGCACAGCCAGGAGGGCCTTTGTGAGTTCAAAACCAGCCTGGGGTGCACAGTGAGTTCCAGGCCAGCAAGGAAACACAGCAGGACCTTGTTTCAAAAGAAAAAAAAATTAAAGTAATTCAAATTAAATTTTAAAAATCTATTAATGATAAAATTGGTTATTATATCATCCTAACTTTTCATTTTCCATGTAGCATTTTAATCTACATAAGCTCAAGCTTGTTGGATATTTTACTTTGTAGCGTCTGCACAGAGTTAACCCATTCATACATAATACTGAGTTTCACAACCCTAGTACATAACTGAGGTTCAAGGTTCTATTTAGGAAAAGAAAGCTTCTCCTTTCTCAACACCATGAACAGAGCTCCAATTTAAAATCCCAAACAGTGTTTCTTAGGAGGACAGTCATAGCGGTAGACAGGAGAAACCACAGCTGAAAATTATATTATGTCATCTAGCATCCACTTATAGCATGTAAAATGAACACTTCAAGAAAAAATATCTCTGTTTGGGTTCTAAAAACATTTAGGAAAAACAAGTAAGAATATTTGTTGATTTGGGTTATATATACCCTGGGCATTTATTTTATCAACGGCGAATGATCCTTCTGGCTTTCCAAGGTTTAATTTACAGTAAAATCCCATTTCTTAGGCTGGCAAGGTTGCTCAATGGGGAAATCAGTATCCACGAAGACTAAGATCTGAGTTACATAGTAGAAAGAGAGAACTGGCTCCTGGATATTGTCTTTTGACCTCCATACTTGCACAGTATCACACACACACACACACACACACACACACTAAATATAATTTAAAAAATTTAAAATTTCCTCCACAAGGATCCTCCGGCACTTTTTATACTGAATTCTACAGCAGTCCTTAGCCTGCTCTATCCAGACTTGTCTGCTTTCTGTAGAGAATACAAATTCCATTAGGTGGAATCACTATTTTTCAGCCTAGAACAAAGCATAGCATCTAGCATGCTTACTAGATAGCTACTGAAATCTATTTAAAGAGAAAGGAAACTTTCTATTGTATTTGTGTCGTCCACTCTCATTCACTGTGAGGAAAATGGAGAGCTGGTGAGCAAAGACTTGCAAACTTGCCATTTGCCTAGCTACGTGTGCTCTTTCCTATTAATTCTTTCACTTTTGTCTCTGTGGTGAAAGATTCTATTCTCATGACTGTTTCCACATATTTTATTCCACAAAGTTTGAAAGTCATAAGAGTGTAGGATTTGGTGCCCAGGGGCAGTTCACAATGCATACGGGTCAGCGACAATATTTTCATCCCCGTTGGGGAGGTATGAGAAATAAGCTCAAAGTACTTCAGAAAAATATGCCTAGGACTTTTTTTTTTTTTTTTAAACTCCCAGAGGAATACAGTCAAAGAAAAAAAATTCAAAGTGTCAGGGACGGGGTCAGGGACAGTGGGCCAATCCCCGGAAGGTGTCTTTATAATGAATAACTTAAAGGTTGCCTTAAGCCAGAAAACAGCTGCAGATTTTCCATCATCCTTATTTATTTTGTTTAAATCGGCCTTTTAGAAAGTTAGTTATTCTCAGCCCATAAGTCACATCTGCATACAGTAATTTTCTTAATTGTCCCTAAATTCTGTGCGGCTGACCCCACTCCCTCACTGCATAATAAAAGCCAGGGGGATAATGAGCTGTGACTAGAAGGTGGCGGAGTTACGCAAGCTTTCATTTCTCACACAGCCATTTTCGGTTTGGGCTGACAGAACTGTTAACATTTTAAAATGTTAATGAAATCGCCCCAAACATGGCATTTCCAGCACATGCTTTTAGAGTAGGAAAATAATTTCTTGTGGCAGACTACACAGACATAATTACAGGTATAAGGGATTGAATTCTTCTCAGTTGCCCATAGCCAGAGCAAACGTCCATCATGACTCAGTGTAGACAAAAGCGCTGGAGGACCAAGGTCATTATGTTATCTTTAACAATGTATTAGAAAGTTGTTTTACTGAGTGTTAATTGTTTGGGGCAACCGTAGATGGTACATTATTTTGACAACGCCTCCATTAATGCACGTCTCTGTGTTTCTAACCAATCAATGACTCTTTCTTCAACTAGACGGAAGTAGATATAATGAATACTTGAGTTTCTCATTTTAGAACTGCAGCATAATACATAAAGGGAAACTATAAAATTCTTGGATGCGTGCTTTTTTCCCCACGAGAAAAAAGGGTCTGCCTTTTAACTTTCGATCTTCTTATCTTGGGTATCCCACGTGCTGGGATCACAGGATTGGATCTCTATGCCTAGATGGATATGCACCTTTTCAAATATACAAAAAAATAAAATCGTTAACATACTCGTAGATTTGGTGGTATGTTTTAATAAATGAATAAAAGTTTTCATGTTTGGTGTAGATGGAACTTTCTCTGAGCAGCCAACCAGCTCCCAAATAAAGACACAGAAACTTATCATTAATATGAATGCACCTCGCTAGCTTAGGCTTGCCCCATTAGCTCTCTTAATATAACCTGTTTCAATTCATCTACATTTTGCCTTGAGGCTTTTTACCTTTCTTTCATTCTGCATGTCCTACTTTCTTGCTTCCCCAGAAATGTCTGGCTGGTTGGTCCCTATCATCTTCCTGGCATCTCTTTTTTTTTTTTTCTTCTCTTGAGCCTAAATTTTTCCTCCCACTTACTCTCCCTACCTGGAAGTCCCATCTATACTTTCTCCCTCACTATTGGCTATCCAGTTTTTTATTAGACCATTCAGGTAGGTATCTTAGGCAGGCAAGGTAAAATAACAACACTTTTTTATATAAACAAATGCTCTGCAATATAAGCAAATCCAACACATCTTTACATAATTAAATATTCCACAATATAAATGCAACGTACCTTTACATAGCCAAACAAATGCAATACATCTTTGCATAGATAAACAAATATTCTACAACATTTCCTCTTTTTGTCTAAATAAAAGTTTTAGCTTTAACATAGTAAGACTACATACAATAAAAACAATTATCACATAAGAATTACATTTTCAATATTCACTTGACAAATTCATAGAAAATATTTCACTGTCTATGCTATAATGGTGGTCCAAAGTACCTAGTTCATTTTCCATCCAAACTTGTATTACCAACCCAAAAGTATCTTTTTAGACCATCAAAACATTTTCTTAAATGATTTAAGCATTTATGTTTCTTGGCCTTATAAACTCAACATCTCTTATGTAAGTTGAATTTGATAACAAGGAAAACTATAACTACCTTGTTTTCAACTCCATCAGAGACCTAAGAAGAATATAATGTTACTTGAGTAAACAGGAAATACAGAGCAAACAGCTTCCCAAACTATATACATATGGCCATGGCAAAGATATATGGCTGCCTGGACAGTCACCCAAGGTTCCTCTACAACTTTAAGGCATTCATCTTTGACCTACAGCCTAGAATACCTGACAGACTCTGTGAAGCAAGACTTTTGAAGAACTATCCTAACTTGTACTGACAAAGTTTGGCAGTTGCTTTCTTTTGTGTCCTGCTTGTCCAGTTTGTATAATATGCTGTCAGCATCAAAGCAAAGGCAGTTTCTTTTCAAAATGGTT